GATCATGGACATTCACAAGCCAAGGAAAGAGACCCGGAGCAGATCCTTCCCTCATAGCTCTCAGAAGGAACCAAACCTGCTGATATTTTGATCTCAGACTTCTAGCCTCCACAATGGTAAGAAAGTAAATTTCTGCTTAAGCCACCAACCAGTCTGTGGTATTTTATTATGGCATCCATAGCAAACTAATACCCCTAGTCTGGTCATTATATTTATCTCCATCTCCATCTCTTTTATTCCCTAAGAGGAAGTCCAAATTGTAATGGGTAAAGATTCTTCCTGGACCTTGCATGCCTTGTCTGCTCTCAGAATGTAGTAACCTCCCGTATTCTGCAACAATAAAACCCCACCCACTCTTTAGGATTGACACAATCCTTTTTAACTCTCCATCTTTGATCAACTGAGCCTATACCACCAATCTGTCCTTTCTTGGACAAACTGACAGTTACCTGAAAAACTGCATTAATAAAAGCTCCACTCTGGCACTATGTCCTCTACTTCCACTGAGGAAACAGAAGCAACAAATTGCATTTATTTCAGGGCTGTTAGTGGGAAGATTTGCACTGCCACTTACATGAAGACCAACAAAGACTTTTTTTTCAATGTCAATGACTTTAGATTCCGTGAGCAATCAGTTTGGTTTAAGCTTCTCATCAATGCAAATCTTTAAACAAATACTGCATGTCTAACTCTTTACAATGGCTATCAGAAAGAATAAAAACTCAACCTCCACTTTGGAAAATCTCTAACATCAGGGACCTACATCTTTCTATAGATGAACTCTGTTGTGCTATTCACCTGCTTTTCTATACCTTCCCTGAATGATTCTGATCCATTTCTAATTCTACTTTTCTATATTAATGTATGGACCCTTAAACACCTATAAAATCCATGATTTAAAAAGGTTTTAATAAATAACTTACCTGAGACACGTTCATTTTCTGCTGCTCTTGGAAGAGTGGGGACAACTGTAAAGGATAAGCTGAGGGTAAGGAAAGAGTCATGAGAGGTCTGGTCAGCCTCTGTATTAACCTGCCTCAAAATCTCATCACACCAGCTAGGGAAAAGTCCTCCCTATGGAAAAATGTTGCTTTGACCCTTAAGAAGGGGCACAAAGCACCACAAAGAGACAGCACCTCCTGAATATGTGCATCTCTGATGTGGATATAACCTTGCTGTTTTTCATCAGATGATTGTAAATTATTTTCCTACTGATTTATTAAAAATGTATGTCTTCTTTGGCTAATTAACAAAAAATTTAAACAGAATATTAATATTTTATTAATATTATTTACACCAATGGAAACTCAATAGAACACTGGAAGGAAAGAAAGATGCTTAAAGACAGGCTATTTTAAAATCTTTTTGTTCTTATTTGTTGCAGTTTCTCAAAAAGACATTTGATAAGAAACTTCAGAGTGAACAGCATGGTGCTTTGCTCCAAGCTCTGTCCTGGGTAACCATGAACAAAACATTCATCTCAGGTTCAATTTTTTTTTTAAGGTTAAAAGAGACAGAAATAGATATCCTTTCCTACATTATCATTCTGTGATCCTATATGTTCAGGATAGAGGAAACCTTAGTATATCTCTAGATGCAACATGTGATGGGTATGGCATGAGAGTGACTCAGAATCTAGAAAGAGTGAGGCAAAGTTCAAGAAAATGGGGGCTCTATGAGGAGGATAACAGAATTCCCTCAGCTCTGGCTGGTTATGCCTTCCTTGGATACCACGGAGAAAAGCCTTCCAGCAACATGGCTTTTCCTGTGCAGCCTGACAGTCACCCACCCCTCTCAACCCCAGCTCACCACCTTTTGCACATTGGTCCACAGAGTTCACTGTCACACAGTCTGTGATGGTTTCTGGATGTGGCGACATCACCACGTCTGGCTCTCTCTGGGTCAGGGGATTAAGAACTGCTTCTGTCTGGTTCCACTTGTTGGTCGAAGGGAAAAAAAAAGAACTGCTTCTGGTGCAGCAAATCAGGATCTGCTTTCTGGGTTCTTCTCCATCTGTTCTAAGCTCTGGTGAGGTCTCTGTAAAAGCGCTGTTCTTCCAGGTGGGACTCCTGTCCCTGGGCTCCCTCCTCCCTGCCACACGAAGAGTTCCTTTGAACCAGAGAGGCTGGGACTTAGGCTTGGGTAAAAAACTCATTTTAGCTGAAACTTTCATGGAAAGCAGTGTTCTCCACCTCAGCACTATTGACATTTTGGGCTGGATAATTCTTGTCATAGGAAGCTGTCCCGTACATCACAGGATGTTTAGGAGCATTTGTAAACACCCACTAGACACTAGTGTACCTCTCCTCCTAGTTGTGACAATGTAAAATGTCTCGACATTTCCAAAGTTCCTGGGAAGCAAAATCACCCCGGTTGAGAACCACTGACATAGGGCCTGAACCTGATTCTCCTGGAATTCATTACATCTGTGCTATCCATTATGTTAGCCGCTAGTCACATTGACTACTGAGCACTTGAAATGTGGCTAGTGCCGCATGTTGAAATAACATTTTTGTATATATTGAGAAAAGGAGTATGTCCTTAAAATTAATTTCACATTTCTTTTTAGATTTGAATGTAGTTACTAGAACATTTAAACTACATAGGAGGTTCACCCTAGAATATCAGACTGTGCCTTCTGAAGCTAAAGACAGCCTGGACGGTGCAGGAAGTGGCAGGAGCCTCATTCTGACCCAAAGGCTCTGGAGATATGCCAGAAACCCCAGAACAAACATACTTGCCATATAGTAAGATTCTGTCCACACTTGACTTCAC